ACTTTCTGGACTGTTCCAGTCTCTGTAAAACAACGTGTAGAAAACGGGGCCACTCCTCTCGCAAGAAGTTCTCGTCTGTGTTGACCCTGGGGCCTTGTGTCCGCTGGGGGGACATCTGTCCAGGAGGGAGCCCCTCCCCGGGAGCCCGGCAGCCATCACCACGGCGCCACCTGTTGCCACGCTGGGGTCAGCAGGAGCGACCTCTGTAGGGGGTCGGAGGTCTGGTCCGCTGCTGCGCGGGGCCTGGGAGACAACGTTCTGGAAGCGGGCGGGCCGGATTCCTCGCCGGTCCTGCCGCACCGCTCCTGCAGGGGGCCGGGTTCACCCAGCGTCCGTTCTGTCCACACCTGCCCCAGGCAGCCAGGCGCGTCCCCAGACTCCGGGGCAAGGGGCACTGGAGCGGGAGCCGCGTGCAAATCCCCGCCCTGGGACTTCTCAGGCTTCGGGCTCGGTTTCTCCGTCATCCGTGCAGGACCCCGACTCGTCCAGCCAGGCTAGGGAAAGAAAATTGACGCCTGTGGGGTCCCTCCCCAGCCCAGCCGGCCCCTTTCCCTGGGAGCTTCGGGGCTGGGGCTCCCTTGGTGTCTGGCGTCACCGGAGGCTGAGAGGGGACCCCGGTCTGGCTGGGTCTCTCGGGGGTCTGCGGGCACCCCCATCCCAATGCCCAGTCCTCTGAAATCTCTGGCTGGGGTGCTGCGACAGCACCCACCGGGTCCCGCTGCCCTCTGGCTCAGCCTCTTCGGGGAAGAGGAGGGGATCAGAGCACCCACCGTGGTCCCACAGAGGAGCTGGGGGGGGCGGGGAGACCTGCTCCAAGTCCCCCCGGGGTCGGGGGAGACCTGCTCCAAGTGCCCCGGTGGGTGGGTGTGGAGACCTGCTCCAAGTGCCCCGGGGGATGGTGGGGGGAGACCTGCTCCAAGTGCCCCGGGGAGGGGGACAGCGGAGACCTGCTCCAAGTCCCCCGGGGGTTGGGGGAGACCTGCTTCAAGTGCCCCGGGGGCGGGGTCCCTGCAGGCCAGGCAGAGAGCCGGGCTCTCCCCACTCTCTCAACCCCAACAGAGCAGCCCTGGGTGTCGGGTGAGCATTGCGAGTGCTAACCAGGTCCGGTGACTATTCTCTTAACTACCAGTGTCACTGGTGTCAACTACACGGCCACCACCGAGGCACTGCGGCTCGCCCCTGTCTTTGCTCGACTCCCGGAAGCACCATCATCTCCCTGTTACAGACGAGGAAACTGAGGCTGGGGGCTGGTGGGGGTGGGGCGCTGCCTCCTGCACTCACAGTCACACAGAGGCCCAGAGTCGGGGGTTTCTGGCTCCAAGGCCGGAGCGTCCTCTCCCGTGCCTCCCTGCTCCAGGGAAGAGTGGAGGGACAGGTGACAAGGGCACAGTCGAGCGGGGCCACCCCCGCCGTCCCTGCAGGCAGACCCGCGCCCAGAGCTGCTTCCACTGCAAGGGAGCCTTCGCAGGTCCGGGACCCTCCCTGGGGGTCTCGGGGCCTCTGGCCGGACGGCTCGGCCCGCGGGCCTCCCAGGGCAGCCTCGCCGTCCCCAGGGCTCACAGCGGGCCCCACGTCACAGAGGACGGAGGGAGGGGACCGCGGCGGCAGAGCCGGACACCTGGGCCTCTGGCCGCCACCCCGAGACACCGCTGGGGACGGGAGGAGGTGACCCTGAGCCCTCGCACCTCTGAAGCAGAGTGAGGACGTTCCCCCAGCTCACAGGGTGGGGTGGGAACTGAACGGCCTTCGTGAAAAGCATTTAGCCCGGCGCCAGGCACCGGGGAAGGGCACGGAGGGACGTGCCCTGCCGCAGCCGGTACCGAGCACGGCCCGACCCGGCGGGGCCCAGTGGCTTCCTCCCGGTCACTGGCTCTGTTAGGCAAGCTGAGACCCACGCTGAGGACATCTAGAACAGTCTACTGAAGCCCCCCTCCCAGACCGCGCCTTCCACGCGCCCCACTCCAGCTCGTCAGCGCCGGGCACCCCCACACACACACACGGCCCGGCGGGACCCATGTGTCACAAGGGCGGATCGGACAAGTGTCCTCACCCGCCGGGAGGGCGTCCGGCCTGGGTCTGACTCCCTATTCTGCCACGTGGTGCCAGCCGCCCTGCGGCAGGCGTCTCCACCTCTCTGAACCTCAGTGTGTCCATCTGTAAAATGGGACAGAGCGTGCACCTCACGCAGAGTCACCGTGGGGGACTGGACGAGAAGACCGCCTGACACGCTCAGTACGTGCCACCTGTCACGGTCATCGCCGCCACCGTCACCGTTCCCAGCGGCGGGCCTGGCCTCAGGAGCCCCTGGGCAGTCAGGAAGCGAGCGGAGCTCGCCACGGCTGCTGCCGTGTCTCCCCGAAAATCAGACCTACCCACAAATACGCCCTGGCAGGGTTTCTAAGCGTTTGCGCAATAGAAGCCCCACCTCGAAAATGAGACCTAGTGACGGGCGTGGCTGCGCAGCGCGTCTGCACCACCCGTGCGTGTCGTCGCGGAGCGGGAAAGAAGGCGAGCAGCCCTTCTCATCCGCCCCGTGAGAGCGCTATGGCTCCACATGAGAGATCGGGGCCGGTGGTTCTAGAGGAAATAGAGTCCCAAGACATTCAGGATGGGATTCGGGGTCTGGAGAGTGAGGATGATGTTCCAGAAAAAGATGACTTAAGTATATTTGGATAAATGCAGATGGTTGTCCCGTACTTAAAAACAATAACGCGTCCCCTGAAAATAAGCCCTGGGGTGTCTTCTTGAGGAAAAACAAATGCAAGACGCCGTCTTGTTTTCGGGGGAACACGGCACGCTGCCCGCGGAGGGGCAGCCGGGCGCCGGTTTGGGCCCCTCCCCTCCCGCCCGGGGCACGGGCTGCTCCCGAGTCCGTCCTGTCCAGCCTCGGCCAGCAAGATGGAGCACGTCCCCGGGCCGGCGGGGGACGGCCCATCCATCTCGCACCTGGCCGGCCGGGGACGCGAGTGGCGGGCCGGCGCAGCCCCATCCATCACCCGTCCCCGGGGGCTGCCTGCTCATTACCGCTCGCTCGGGCCACCTCCCCCGGGCCTGGTGCCACGGCCGGGGCCCGCGTGGCGAGGACGCAGGCCTGACCTTGGATTCTCGATAAGGCTGGGGGTGGGGGCGGCGGGGACAGAGAAGGGGCCCCCCACCCGCCCCAGACCCGGCCCGGCCCGGCCACGGAGGCAGGGCGGCCTCACCTGTCTGCCTCAAGTCCCTGGGCAGCATCATGCCCGTGGGGGTCGGGGGCGTGATGATGATGTCGGGCACGTCCAGGTGCTTGCCGCTCAGCACGGGGGCCTCGTCGTGGCTGCCGCTGCCGCTGCTGACACACATTTTTAGGCCTGAGCGGGCAGGCCGTGGGACACACACACGTACACACACGACAGAGAGACAGGCATCAGTGGCCGCTGGGGGGACCGGCCGCCTCAGGCCGCCCCTGCCCCCGCCCCTCCCCGCCGCGGCGAGTCCCGGGGACCCCTGGCAGAGCGGCCACGGCCGCCCTCGCTTCGCAGGTGAGGAAACTGAGGCTCAGGGAAGTGAAACGACCGGCCCGCTGCCGTGAACATCTCACAGGACCACAACCGTGAACGTACCTGGGGACACGCTGACCGCGGGCCGGCCGGTCGCCCCTTGGTCTGGCGCTCAGCCGCCGCACCCGGGCCCCGCCTCCCTGCAGCCCCCTTCCCAGCCGCCACCTCCCGCCCCCCAAAGCGCTCACAGCTCCCCAAATTCACTGGGCGGTCGCCAGCCTGGGATGCGCTTTCTTCCTCGGCCAGGGTAACGGGCTCCTACTCATCCTTCCGAAACCCAGCACGCCAGGCTCTTCCAGAGGTCCCCACGGATCTGATCGCTCTGCCCACCTGTGCTCACGCCACTAGCCCTCGTCTCTGTCCCCCTGTGCCGCGAGCACCCGGAGGGCGGCCGCCACCCCACGCGTCTGGGTCTCCCTCGAGCCCGGGACAGAGGAGTCAGGGGCGCTTCCAATCTTAAGCGAAACAAAAAAGGCTTCCGGCACCGTCATGCTGCGTGTTAAAAGCCCCGTCTCTCTGCGCCCCGCTGCTTCTCTCCCCCGCTCGGTGCCCGGCGGGGATCACCCTGGCTCCTGCAGCAGAGCCCCCGGCCAGCGGGAGGAGCGGAGTGGTGGGGGTCATTTTCCCTGCTGCCCTCAGCCCTACGGTGGCCACCGCCAGGTCACGCTCCTAGGCGATCCCCGGAGGGTCCGTGTGGCGGCTCTAAAACACTCCCACCAGCGTCTAAGCCCTTCCGTGTGGGCGGGCCAACCGACCCGCTTCTAGTGGACAGAACAGGACAGAAGTGACGGTGTGCGACTTCCAAAGTGAGGCCCTAGGCCGGGCGCGGTGGCTCACGCCTGTCATCCTGGCACTGTGGGAGGCCGAGGCGGGCGGATCGCTCGAGGTCAGGAGTTCGAAACCAGCCTGAGCAAGAGCGAGACCCCATCTCTACTATAAATAGAAAGAAATTTTTAGCCAGGTAACTAAAAATATATAGAAAAAATTAGCCGGGCATGGTGGCGCATGCCTGTAGTCCCAGCTACTGGGGAGGCTGAGGCAGGAGGATCGCTTGAGCCCAGGAGTCTGAGGTTGCTGTGAGCGAGGCTGACGCCACGGCACTCACTCTAGCCCGGGCAATTAAGCAAGACTCTGTCTCAAAAAAAATAAAAATAAATAAATAAACAAACAAAGCGAGGCCCTAAAACACACTGCAGATTCCACCTCGATCTCTAGTGGACCCCTAGCCGTGGCGGAAGCCGCCTGCCACGCTCCGAGGATGCTCGAGCCGCCCGTGGAGATGCCACGTGGTGAGGAACTGAGGCCTCCAGACAACAGCTGTCTTGGCCGTGGACCCTCCAGCCCCAGGCCAGCTGCCAGAGGAGACTGCGGCCCAGGCTGCCACCTTGACCGTAACCTCGTGGCTGACCCTGGGCCAGAACCGCCCAGCTGAGCCACCGTTCCTGACCTACGGAAACCCCCGAAAGAATAAAGATCTGTTGCTGAGGCCACTAAGTGTTGAGTGCTTTGTCCTGTGGCACCAGGTAACCGACGGAGGCAGCAAAGCTCCTCCCCGGACCCTGGGAGGAAGGGACAGCAGGTGCACGGCCGGTGGGCCTCCCACACCTGGCTGTCAGAAATCACAGGGTGCGATTCCCAGGTGGACCCTCGGTCACCTAAGGGGTGACCACCTAAGGTGTTCCTCTGAGGGGCAGTGCGCACCTTGACCGCCAAGGGCAGTTTGCATCCAGCCACAAAAACACACAAGCCTCCAACAACCCGAGTCCTGCAATTCCGGACAGATTCTTGGTCCCTCTGCGGCGGGACCCAAGGCCGTGCCGGAAAAGCCGAAGGCAGCAGGCACAGTGGCGAGAGCACTGGCTTTGGGCAGGAGGCCACCAGCTGCCTGACCCTGAGCGGGTCACACCACCTCTCTGGGCCGTTGTGCAGTAAAGAGTGTGACCTTCCACGGGTCACGTGCAATTATGAACCGTGCCGCTATAAACATCCGAGTGCGGGTGTCTTTTTTTTTTCTAGAGTGTCACCGGATCTTTTGGGTAGACGCCCAGTGCCCATCGATCCATGAGTGGATTAATAAAATGTGGCACATGTATACCACGGAGCACTATCCAGCTCTAAGAAACAACGGTGGTCTAGCACCTCTTGCATTTTCCTGGATAGAGCTGGAACCCATTCTACTAAGTGAAGTCTCCCAAGAATGGAAAAACAAGCGCCACATATACTCACCAGCAAACTGGTATTAACTGAGCAGCACCTAAGTGGACACATAGGAACTACATTAATCCGGTATGGGCCGGGGGGGAAGGGGGGAGGGGGGCGGTATATACACAACAATAATGAGCCCGAGGACCGGGCACCGTTGGGGATGGTGCACGCCTGAAGCTCAGACTTGTGGGGGGAGGGGGGCAAGGGCATTTTTTGAAACCTTAAAACTTGTACCCCCATAATATGCTGAAATAAAAAAAATAAAAAAACCCAAAAGAACGTGACCTTGCCCCAGAAGAGGTCTGGTCTCTGTCCTTGGTTCCCGGGGGGCGCTCTCCAAGCCCTTGGACTATGCTGCCTGACTATGCACGGTCCTTCCCCGCCTGGGGGGCCGGGGTCACGCTGGACGTCCAAACACGTGATTCGTGGCGGGGGCTCTGGCGCGCGCCCAGGGAGACTGCAGCCTGCAGCCCGATCCCACAGTGCGTTCGCCTCCTGCGGCTGCCGCAACAAAGCGTCACAAGCCGGGTGGCTTAAACAGCGACAATTCATCGTCCCACAGATCTAGGGCTAGAGTCACGGGCAAGAAGGACGGTTCCGAGAAGGCTTGGCCCTCCTGGGCAGGGGGCGCAAACCTGCCCAGGCCTCCCCCCGGCCTCCTGGGGATTATGCGGCAACCAGTTGTACCCCAAGACTGGCAGAAATGGCAACCAGATCTCCCTGCCTCCTATCCCACGTGCCATCATTCCCGCCTGCCCGGTGTCTTTGTCCAATTCCTCCTTTATTACACGGACCCCAGTCCGAACTGGGATTAGGCCACCCTACGACCTCATCTTAAGTTTTTTAAAATTCAAACTATTAAGGGGTACAGATGTTTTTGACGCATGGCTTGAGCCAGGGATAGCTATAAAACCTCGTCTTAATTAACCACGTCTGCAAAGACCCTGTTCCCAGTAAGGTCACAGTCTGAGGCACTGGGGCCCAGGAATTTGACACGTGCACCTCCCCTCTGTGGGACTACAAGCCCCCCCACCCCAGCCCCTGGGAGCACCACCGAGGCCTCTCGGAACCGGATTTAAAGCGGTGATATCTAGGCCTTCTTTAAAGAACAGACGGTGGCCGGATGAGGTGGCTCACGCCTGTCCCACCCAGCCACTCTGGAGCCGAGGCGGGACGGAAATCATCCAAGGTCAGGAGCCGAGGATCAAAACCCCATCTCTACTAAATAGAAAAAATTATCTGGTAGCCTGAGAAAATATATAGAAAAAAATTAGCCCGGGCATGGTGGCGCCAATGCTGTAGTCCCAAGCTATCTCGGGAGGCTGAGGGCAGAGGATGCCTTGAGCCCCAGGAGTTTTGAGAATTGCTGTAGCCTAGTGCCAACGGAACTCTAGCTGGTGAAAGAGTGAGACTCTGTCTCAAAAAAAATAAATAAAGAACAGAACGTTTCTGCTGCAATCTCATGCTGCAGCCCACCATGAGGAACAGACCACAGGAAGCCGCGTGGGGAGGGCCCTCCTGCTGCCACTTGTAAAGGGACCCACGTGGGCGGGGGCCGCCGAAGCACTCCCCTAGTCCTCCATGCCCAGCCTGTGTTCACGTTGTTCAGGCTGGCCCTCCCAGAGGTGGAAACTGAGGACCCGAGAGAGTAAAACTGCCACCAAGAACTGAAACACCTGGTGGTGGCAAGATCCCCAGACGAACCCACGCCCGGGTCTGGCCGCCTTCAAGAGCCAGCACCTTCCACAACCAAACTCCCGCATGACGAGCCGGCAGTTTTTCTGAAAGGGGCCAGACAGCGAATACTTTTAACTTTGTGGGTCCGTCCCAGCCACATGCGCGGCTTTGCTCCTGAGGCCCATGAAGGCGGCCACAGGCGATATGGAGATGAGTGGCCGTGGCTTTGTCCCAATAAAGCTTTATTTATGAAAACAAGCAGCGGGCAGGCTTGGGCCTAGGGGCTGTGGTTTGCAAGGCAGTCACCCCTGCTCTGTACCACCCGGGAAGGGCAGGCAGTTTGGATGCGGGACATGCCTGGTGTCCTAGCTGGCAGTAACAGAACCTCAAGAGCCCGAGGCTTGTCAATCCCCGAAACAAACCCAAATCCGAACCCCTGGCCGCAGGTGGGTAGTGGCAGCCCCTCCCATGCGCGATGAATGGACTCACAGGAAGCGCTGGGCCCCCAGCCAGCCCAGGGCTCTGTCCCTGCTCACGGTCTCTATTATCCTCCATACAGAGCAGCTAGCTCCCCGGGGCCCTGCAACAAAGGGCTGGGACAGTCTGTCCCAGGGAGGAGCCTCCCCCTCAGTCTCCAAAGCCCCTTCCTCAGGGAATAGTCCAAGATTCTAAAATAAAACCTCCGGCATTTGCATTTTAGCCTGGTCTGGGGCTTGAGGACAAAGCCCACAATCTCAGTCTGAAAGCCTCAGGTCCTCTGTGAGCCCTGGAGAGAGGCTGCAGGCAGGGACGGGGAGGGAGAGGAGGGGAGGAGGGAGGAGGGGGAGGAGGGAAGGAGAGGGAGAGGAAAAGGGAGGAGGGGAGGGGGAGGGGAAGGAGGGAGGGGGATGGGGAGGGAGGACCCCAGCCCCTCTCAGATCCCAGGGCTGCCGGGCCTCAGGGGCAGAGATGGCTGGGCGGGAGGGAAAACCTCTCAGGAGGATAAAGCCGACTTTGGGGATTAAAAAACAAATGCCAGCCCTGCCCCAGACAAGGAGCTCATTTGTGCTAAGGCCAGAACGGTTATTTGTTAATTACGTGCCCGCCTCGGGCTATTAAAAGCCTATTTCCTGAGGGGAAAGGCTTGTCTGGGATTCCAGGGGGCTGGGCCCCAGGGAGGGATGGGGCAGGGAACGGGCCCAGGGACCTAGACGGGGATGGGGGGGGCAGCGCAGTCTGGTGCTGGGGGCCGCCAGGCCTGGACCTGAGTCACCGCTATGGGAGGGGCACCAGGATCTCAGGAAACTCCCAGGTGACTCTGACAGCCAGGCCTGGGAACCCCGGGGTGAGGGCGGCGTGGGGACAGCGGCTTTACCCTCTGAGCCTCAGTTTCCCCGGCTGTAAAAATATACAGACACCAACCTTGTAGGAACGAAACGCCAGGGGTAGGAAGTAACCCACAAGGAGCCAGTGGCTGGGGCCGGGGACCCGAGCTGGGGGGGAACAGACACCACCACCCCCATTCCTAAGCATCCTGGGCCAGGCTCTGAGCTGAGCCCTGCTCTCGCCCCTGCACGCACCCTCACGCCAGCCCGCAGGGAGAACACGGGGATCACACCCATTCTACAGATGAGCAAACCAAGGCTTGGAGAAGGGAGGTGACGCGCTCAGGCATGGAGCCCGACCGCCCCTCGCCCCTGCGGGCATTAGCCCCTACGTCTCGCCTTCCAAAAGCCCTGAGCTGGGTGAGCCCATGCCCACATCCAGGCTCTGCCCAGGACGCCCAGGTGCCCGGGCACGGGACGCCATTCCCTGCGCCAGCTGTCCCCGGCCCCCACACCACCCAGAGGCCTCGGCCGCAGCCGGGAGCAAGGACTCTGCAGGCATCACGGCTCAAGGGCGCCCTCTCGTGGTTCTTTTTGAAAACAGCGCCCCTGAGGCCAGGCGCGGTGTCTCATGTCCTAGGTAATCCCAGCACTCTGACTTTGGGAGGCCGGGGCAGGAGGATCGCTCGAGGCCAGGGGTTGGACACCAGCGTGGGCAACCTAGTGAGACCTCGACTCTACACAAAAAAATTTTTTAAAATTTATCCAGGTGCGGTGGCAAGGTGCAGAGCAAGAACCTATGTCTAAAAATAAAAAAGTAAATAAAAATTAAGACTTAAAAAAAACCCCTGGTGCCCACTGGGAGGCCCCACCTGAGACCACGTCCCTCTGCCCCAAGGCACCGTCACGCACACAGCGGGCGCCTGGAGGGACACCTGGGCGGTGGCTCCGCCTCTCTGAGCCTCTGCTCCCTCACCCACAGAACGGGGGAGATCACGGCCCGTGTGCGAGGGGGTACAGAGAGTAACACCGCTTTGGGTCCTCACGCGCGTACCTAGGCAGAGGTGCGACGGGTACGTGTCTTTTTGCAGACGAGAGAACCCCGAGTGCCTGGCAGTTCTTCACGCTTCCAAACAAGCGTGTCGCTGAACACCATGATTTTTGGTTTTTTTTTAGATCAGAGTCTCGCTTTGTTGCCAGGCTAGAGTGCCGTGGCGTCAGCCTCTGCTCACCAGCAACTCCAATCGCTGGGCTCAAGGATCCTCTGCCTCAGCCTCCCGAGTACGGGAACTACAGGCATTGCCACCCGCCGCGCTATGATTACTTATTTTAGTATGGCGGGGTCTACTCTCTGTTCAGGCTGGGTTCAAACTCCTGACTCAGCAGCTCACGTCTCGCTCAGAGTGGCTGAGATTACAGGCGTGAGCACACCCGGCTGCACATGAGATTTTTTTGTTTTATTTTATTTTTGAGGGAGTCTCGCTTTGCTTGCCCGAGGCTAGGAGTGAGTGCCCTGGATTAGCCCAGCTCACAAGCACTCGAACCTTGGGTTCAAGGCGATCTCATGCTCGCCCGAGTAGCTGGGACTACAAGCATGCGCCACAGGCCCGGGTTTTTTTCGTTCGTTATATAGGTTGGCCAATTAATTTTTTCGTATTTATAGTAGAGAGGGGTTCGCCCTTGCTCGGGCTGTGTTTCGAACTCCTGACTCAGCAATCCTCAACGCCTCGGCCTCCCAGAGTGTAGGATTACAGGTCGTGAGGCCACCGTGCCTGGCCCGCACCATGGGATTTTTTTTTTTTTTTTGAGGACAGAGTCTTGCTTGTGCCCAGCAGAGTAGAGTGCCGTGCCGTGTGTCGCTGCTTCACTAGCAACTCAAACTCCGCTGGGCTCAAAGCGGTCCTCCTGCCTCAGCCTCCGAGTAAGCTGGGACTCGAGGCATGCGCCCCGGCGGCTAATTTTTTTTGTATGTGGATTAGATTGGCCATTTTACTTTCTTGTAGCTTTATAGTAGGAGACGGGGTCTTCACTCTTGCTCAGGAGCTGGTTTCGAACTCTTGGACCTCGG